ACCTGGAGCCTGAGGAGCAAAGCCCAAATAGGGCCGAAGTCCAGGAAAGAGAAGGAAAAGCCCAGCAAGGGCAAGAACAATGCCGGAGATGAGGCCCAAAAGGAAAGAGGCCAAGAGAGTGCCGAGAAGAGGAGACCCGCAGTAGAACGGACAGCCAAGTCCAAAGAAGTTGGAGGAGAGGGCCAAATGAGAAACCCTAAGGAGACTCAGGACTGAATCCATCCAACCCTTAAAAGCTTGAGAGTGGAGCGCACAAAACTCAATCCTGTCACATCATTTTTCAGAATCATGAAAGGCATTTATCCTCTTTAAAAAGGAAATAAGAGTAAATACTTATTTTCAAAAGGAACGTGAACCGAGTTAATCATGTTTAAATAGTAATGGGTTATAACAATTTTGAAATTTTGAAAGGAACATACAAGTGAATAATAAAGGATTAACAATTCCCTTCAATTTCCTTTAAACATGATAAATTGATATAATTCCTTGCATTTTCCCTTTGAACAATGATCAATTCCTTTCATGTGTTTTTAACATGACACTTCTGTTCATTAATTTGCCAAGGAAAGTGAACAGAATTGATCATGTTTAAAAGGAAAATAGAAAGAACCTATATTTGTTCAAAACATAAAAGGGATTGATCCTCTTTAAAAGAATAAAAAATCATATATATAACAAAAAATTGACCGAGTTAAGCATTGAAAAAAGTAATAGATTATAACCATTTTGAGAGGAATTTTTCAAGTGAGAATACAGAGCATGGATCATGTTTGATTAAACAAATATTACGTAAACATTGATGACTTCCTGTGTTGTCTTTACAAAAAATGACAAATTCCATTCAATTTCCTTTCAACAGGATAAGTTCATATAATTCCTTGCATGTTCTATTTGAACAATTATAACTCCTTTCAATATTTGTAACATGACACTTCTGTTCATTTATTTGCAAAAGAAAGTGAAAAGAACTAATCATGTTTAAAAGTAAAATATACAAAAACTATATTTTTTCAACACATAAAAGGATTGATCCTCTTTAAAAGAAAAGAACAATAAATAATCATATATTCACCCAAAAATGGACCGAGTTAAGCATTGAAAAAACAAGATGGAACCCACGAACCCGAATGCAAACACGTTCGACAAACTAATACGTCCAAATGACACTCTTGTGGGACACTCTTGTAGGACACTCTTGTAGCACACTCTTGTGGGTCACCCTTGTAGGAAACTCTTGTGGGACACTCTTGTAGGACACTCTTGTGGGACACTCTTGTAGGACACTCTTATAGGACACTCTTGTGGAACACTCTTGTGGGACCCTCTTGTAGGACACTCTTGTGGGACACTCTTGTAGGACACTCTTGTGGGACACTTTGTGAGACACTCTTGTGGGACACTCTTGTGGGACACTCTTGTAGGAAACTCTTGTGGGACACTCTTGTGGGACACTCTTGTAGGACACTCTTGTGGGACACTCTTGTGGGTCACTCTTGTAGGAAACTCTTGTGGGACACTCTTGTGGGACACTCTGTGGGACACTCTTGTGGGACTCTCTTGTGGGACACTCTTGTAGGATACTCTTGTGGGACAGTCTTGTAGGACACTCTTGTGGGACACTCTTGTGGGACACTCTTGTAGGACACTCTTGTGGGATACTCCTGTAGGACACTCTTAAGGGACACTCTTGTGAGACACTCTAGCGGGACACTGTTGGGGGACACTCTTGTGGGACTCTCTTCCAGCTCCCCAGATACTCCGCGTACTAAAGTTGTACTACAAGGTCGCCAGTTCTCAGCTTTCTGGGACACTCTTGTAGGACACTCTTGTAGGACACTCTTGTGGGTCACTCTTGTGGGACACTCTTGTAGGACACTCTTGTGGGACACTCTTGTAGGACACTCTTGTGGGACACTCTTGTGGGACACTCTTGTAGGACACTCTTGTAAAATACTCCTGTAAACACTCTTAAGGGACACTCTTGTGAGACACTCTAGCGGGACACTGTTGGGGGACACTCTTGTGGGACTCTCTTCCAGCTCCCCAGATACTCCGCGTACTAAAGTTGTACTACAAGGTCGCCAGTTCTCAGCTTCCAGCTCCCCAGATACTCCGCGTACTACAGTTGTACTACAAGGTCGCCAGTTCTCAGCTTCCAGCTCCGCAGATTGCTCCGCGTACTCAAGTTGTACTACAAAGTCGCCAGTGCTCGCCTGCATTTCGCGCGCTCGACACGCACGATCTCCGCAGAGGGTTGCGCGGGCACCGGACAAATCGCACTCTCGCCTGCATTTCGCGCACTCGACACGCACGATCTCCGCAGAGGGTTGCGTGCGCATGGGACAAATCGCACTCTCGCCTGCATTTCGCGCACTCGACACGCACGATCTCCGCAGAGGGTTGCGCGCGCATGGGTCAAATCGCACTCTCGCCTGCATTTCGCACACTCGACACGCAGCGTTTCGTACGAGACTTCCTCAAAAACTCACACGTCAAAGTCTGCAAAACGAGCGTTTCGTACGAGACTTCCTCCAAAAGTCAAGCGGAAACACCCATCGGAGCACACGCATCACGCAGCCCTGCCAAGCAGTTTCGCGATTCCAGCCCCTCCAAACAACATCCGCTCACGCGCCAATCCCAATGTGACAGCGACATTCACCTCTACCACAACTCACAAGCTCACGATTCCCCGCGCCTGCCACGAATCTTTCCCCATCCACACGTCTAACGCGCACAAAGTACTGCGCCTGCCACGAAATGTCACCTCCGTCACACCTTGCAACCTCACGATTCCCTGTGCCTGCCACGAGAATCGCACTTCCACGCCTCAAAGCCCGCACGAAGTCCTGCGCCTGCCACGAAAAGTGCCAATATCATCGCATGTGAGCTTCAACAAAATTTGCACCACGCCACACGTTTGGAATGATTTCGACCCGTTCAGAGCACACTCCCATCCACCAAAATCACCATTTCAGCTGAGACTTGTCACGAAAACAGCGCTTCGATGCCACACCCTCACACGCAAATCCCAATGGCACGGCCACATCCAACACCCCAAAAACACGACTCTCCAAACGCTAATCCCAATGGAACTGCGCAGCAATCTGCGGATCTCACAAAACGCTGCGCCTGTGCAGCGACGTGCATCACGTTTCTTGCGCGACATGTCGGTGTCATGCAAATCACAATGGAATAGCGGTGCAAACTGACACGCGACACATCCATGCAAAGTCACTTGCAAAAGCTTCCCCCAATGGCAGCAAATTTGAGACGCGGCGACGACGACACGACGACGACAGACGACGACAGACGACGAGAGACGACGAGAGACGACGACAGACGACGACACGACGCAAGCCATGCAAACACATGTCCAACCCCCACACCCCCAACTACAAACGGGAACCCTTCGCTACGTATTCGGGAATAATGAATTATAACCATTTTGAGAGGAAAATACACGTGAATAAAACATAATACACAATTACTGTCAATTTTCTTTAAACAGGATAAGTTGATATAATTCCTTGCATTTTCTATTTGAAGAATTATAATTCCTTTCATGTTTTTTCCTTTCATGCTTTTTTTAAACATATCACTTCTGTTCATATATGTGCAAAGGAAAATGAAAAAATTATCATATTTAAATAGTCATGGGTTATAACAATTTTGAAAAGAAAATACAAGTGCATAATAAGGGATAAACACGAAACAAGGTGAGGAGGGGGGGGTGCATGGACACTCCTGGGAGGGAAGATTGAGTTGGGCACACCCTCAAGAGTTGTGAGCCCCCCCCCCCCCCCCCCCCCCCTCAAGAGTTGTAAAGTTGTGAGCCCCCCCCCCCTCCCCTCCCCTACCACCACCACAGAGTGCTTGCTTGTGCTCCGCTTCTATACAGGAATGGCTGACTGTTTAAAGGGAACATGAAGGGAATCATCACTATTAAAAATAAAAATGAAATGAGATAAGTATGTTCAAGTGACGAAAGGAATTGATCATTTTTTGTAAACAATGCTTGTCAGATATGAAACTTGCAACCTGTGTGTCAAGCTGAAATAACATAACACATATGAAACGTGCAAACCGTGGTAGGGCAAAACGCCCGAGGAACCATGTTTTTATATGACTCTCCAGTGATTCTATATGACTCTCCAGTAAGAGCAACAAAATTGAGAGAGGTATAGAGAGGTGAGGAGGGGATTGAAATCATCCCCTATTTAAAACGTGTAGAGAAGGACACCTGAAGACAACTATGTACAAATTTCCACCCCACGAATAGTTGTGGAACATAGAAAATCATATAAATAAGAGAGGTCGCGGTTTTCTCATAGTTTGTTCCCTTTTTATTGCCCTTTTGATACAGTGTCTAATTATTCATCTAAGTCAAGGATTCGATTGGGGGTGGTATGGACATGTATGAACTATCCGGAACACATAGGGAACGGACTTCACTTGGGCATAGTTTGCCCATCAGGGAGTTGTGGGCCTTGCAATTGTCTCTTCAGCCTCTATAGCTTTGGGTCTATCCTATTACCAGGTTTCAGTGGATGATGATGGTTAGGTTGCAGGCCTCGTTAAATGGTGATTAGCTTGCTTTTCCTGCCTCTTACAGGTAATAGGACAAACCCAACCTCTGTGGATCCAATCACCTTGAACCCTGCTGTCACCTGTCACATGCCGAAGAACCAAACGGAGTAGAGGGAGTGGAGTCCTAGGGATCAATGCCTACTAGTGACCAATGGATAATCAGAAGATCGAACTGTAGCTCAAAACAATTCTCAGACCTTGGAGTTCGTGAGGGAATTCGATTGATGAGGAGAGTGATTCTGATTGATCAATCCATTGGTAACTTCTTCCTCTGTCTCCGAATTGATCTTCAGCTCCTTGCCAAAACACGATTGGACCTCTTCCTGGAGTCCTGGAGTTCATGCCATGTCCAGCACCGAAACAAATAACTTGACGCGAGATCTTCCTCGTCGACTCGTCTGGCCAGTCTGGGCCTTTCTCGCTCTCCTGCTTCACCTTGAACTTGCAGTGACCTGGCCGTGGCCGCCGTGGCCGCCGTAGCCTTTGGAAGTCACATTGATGTAAGAGGCGTGGTCCGTGACTTCGGGGCCACTGCAGGTTGCAACCTTGAAATAGAAGAGACTGATTTCAGCTAAGGCAAAGCCAATCCTGCAGTGAAGCCAATCCTGGGTAAAAGACCCGTTTCTCGAGGAAAACATCAGACTGACGACAATTGTTAAACAGTGTCCATGACATACTTATATATAATAACCAAGTAAACAAACAAATCTCTGAGAAAGGTGCAAGTTTGCCAACAACATCCAACAACTGGGTATGGGTGTGATAAAAGGGCTCTGATCGGCTTGATGGCTGACAGCTTCCGCAATGCTAAGTTCCATGTTTTTTCAAAGGGTCAGCTGTGAAGAGTTGGTTGTCCAATGAATCCCGACTGATCAAACCGGGAATCAAGCAGCCGAAGAGCTTCTGAGCAGGTGGTAGTTCAAGTTTGAGAAGCCTGTGTTTGTTGCTTGAAAGCAGAGTTGGATGCACTGGATTTCAACACCAGGGACGTTTCCTCTTGCCCAACCGACTCTCGTTCGATACCAAAGTCGGCCTCCCGTGTCCCGTGATGTCCGCTGAAGTGCTGTGATGGCCGCGTCAACGACCCGTCGTTTCACTCCCCTTTCCGACCGAGATCCCAAGATCCCACGCCTCCCTGAGGTGCAAAGCCACCTGGCATCTCGCTCTTCAGCACGAAAACATCTTGTCCTGGGAAAGCCTGGAAAGAGGAGAAAGCCACAAAGGTGCACCACAAAAGGGCACCTGGGGGGGTTTGACGGGTGATTCTCGCTGAAGGAACAAAAGGAACGAAACAGAAAACATCGGCTCGTGAGCAGTTTTTCTCAGTATTTCTGAGCGTTTGCCTTGGGGTTCAATTGCCTTGGGTTGGCCCGCTTCTCCCTGCAAGTGTCCAAACCAACCGCCCAAAAACGAGCGACCGGGTGCACTTGCTACACGTTTGACTGGACACATTATGGTTTTGCGCTCTCTGGTTTTGGCATGTTTTTGCTGAATTCAGTTGAAAGGGACCATCATAGCATCAACCATCACAAGCATATTTGCCCTTGGTGATGGCAATTGATTGCAAAGCCAGTTCCAAGGGGGTCAACCTCGGTCAGAAGTGCACCAAGTTGGAGAGGGCCAACTATGGCCTGATGCTGCTGGGGACTGAGCTGGGCCTTTCTCAATCCTCGACTACAACAGCGCTGAACCACCAAGTGCGTTGATCATTGAAGTCTTGAGCCACATCCTCCGATAGCTTGATAGTCTTGAGCCAAACTCCACCCCTTCCTAACCAGAAATGTATGATCTCGATGTGAGGGATGGCGCAAGCGCAACAACCTACTCAACAAAGATCCTGCTTGATCAGTGCCCCGCGTGTTCCAAAGCGTTTCGGTCCTGTTGACAGGTCGTTTGATTGTTCCTGCTCAACGATGACGACTGACCACTCCAGGCTTCAATCAGTTCCACTTACAGTCGGAAAGCGTTTTTTGTTGCTCATCTGAACATCGATGAGCATGACTGCCAAGGCACGTCACATCCAATGAAACCATAGCCCTTGTTGGGATTGAAGGATTTCACTTCACCTTGGACGCTGGCACACCCGGTACTGGTGCCGATGCAGGCGGGATGTGCCAGAAGTTGGCCACGTCTCGTCCGGTCTCAGGTTTCGAGATGGCTCCTCTCAGCCATGGAAGAGAGGGCTAGGCTTTGCGACCTGAAAGCCTAGCCTCTCCGAAAGGCAAAAGAAGGTAGGTTATGGTATGTTCATCATCTTATATCAAATGTCATGAACATACCCCTGAAATTGAGCTCAATCAGCTCCATCCTGGTTCCTACTGGTTCCTTCCGAAACGGGGGGAGGGAGTGGCTTCCAGCTCCCAAACCGGTCGAGGCCTTCAGCACTCACCACCGGGTGTTTCAAACGGTCCAACAGCGTGCACTCGGTCCCGGGCCGTGGTAGACAGCCTCTTCGGGAGGCACCAAGACCTTGACTTCTGTGGCCTGCTGCCCCTGGGGCGAAGCTGGGAGATCTGGAGCACGCACCACGTCTGTTGTTTCAACCCGTCGGTTTCAGGCGAAAATACAACTTTTGTGGACCCAGTCGTGTCTCTGAGTGACTTATGAGTGACTTATGAGACTCTGATCAAAATCTGAGACCTACAATAGACATCTCCGGAGAATTGCTCCGTATCTTGGCCATTTTCAGCCATCCATTGGAGAGAGGAAGTCGACTTGGCGCTTTTGGACGGCAAACCGATCTAAACCACATCGATTCTTGGGTGTTAGGTATAGGCCCTTGGATTCTCTGAAGCAAGGGCCCCCCTGTCTATTCGCTGGTGTCGCACCGTCAAGAATACGCTTGGTCATCCTGGAGTGGATAGAGGATGGGGAAATGCAGTAGGAGATAATAAGAGCAGCATGGTTTACACTTTTCAGAGGCATCTTCCCCCTATTCTAGCATGGTATTCTGGACAATGACACAAACATGTATGGACGGATTGTCACTTCATGTGCACTGCATTTAGTGATTTCTGCAGACTTCAAAACAGTTTGTTCAAACATCTACAAGTTTTGCGGACTCTTCACCTTACCGTTCTTCACCTTCCTTCCCATCGTGGCAATTGAGTTAACTGAAAACCAATGTCAGAGTGTTTGAGGTTTGGGGTTGTAGGGTTCGTGTTGAGTCCATGTCTCTGGAGGAGCAGCCACTGGGGGCCCAAGCAGTGGTGGCCAGGAACACCATTGGGCCAATGGTGCGGGGCAAGGGAACACGTGCGGGGCAACCAAACCTTTTGTCGCATCAGCAGGTCTGATCGTGTGAAGTCAAGCTTGTTGAATGGGATTCGTGGGTTCCAAGATGCACTGCCTTCTACTTTTTGTTCGTAAGACATTGATGTCGTGATGACATTCCGTGTGGTTGGAACGATGTGTTGGTCGGAAAACAGCTGTGCCTGGGCTGACGCGGCTGACGCTGGCATATGCAGCAGAAGTCGCGCAGCCTAAGAATACCAAGGGCTACCCAACAATTGGCCAACAAGTCTGTCGTCTCCAACTGGGAGATCCACCAATGAACCTTTCCACACTTGGCAGTTTTGTGGTAGGTCGCATTTTGCTATCCTGCATCACCTCTGGCCGGTAGTCAACGTTGATTTTTTGTTCGCACTGTACTTCCTAAGACAATTTTGTTCAAGCATGTGTTCCATGTTCTTTGTTTGCGAACGCCGCACTGAACCAGACCGCTTGATATTGCGGGTGGAGAAAGGCACTCGCCCTTTGGACAGATGGGACAGATCTAGACATAGACAGTCCGTTTTTCTTTCACCGGAAGACACCTGAACACATCAAGCTGCACATCAAGCTCCAACAATGAAAGGGACACCACCAGCTATCAAGATTTCAATCAGTGTCACACACCTGGTCACATCAGGTTTGCAGCCACACTCGGACCATCACCGCTTCTGCAACCTATGTAGTTCAAAGCAACCAGTGCACACAGTTTTGCCCATGGACGGCAGAAATGGCTCATGCTTCTTGTGGGCGCTGCACCCCAGCACCACATTCTGCGCCTTTGAACATCTCATGCATTTGTACACACGCCATCACACGCCCCTACGAACAGTCAGAACGCGAGGAACCTAGGCAAGGACGCGCGGTGGCCAGATGGACCAGTCAGTTTCGCGACGGGAAGTTTCAACACAAACAGCTGGGCTATCGACCGGTGCGGGTGTGAACAGCATGGGACTGCTAGAGATCCTAAACACAAACGTTCAAAAAATGAAACCTGTCAAGATGTCGAGCGATTCTGCGATCCATCGACTTCTGGGAAGACCCAACTCGAGAGACTCGTCTGGCGGCCTGCACCGGACAAAATTCAATACGGGTGCTCCTGGGAGATGCTTTTTGCGCAAGAAGTGATCAAAAACACTGTCTTTCCCTGATTTTTTGCTGACGCATCACCAAAACCTAGGTTTTCAGTTTTCAGCTATTGTTTTCATCATTTGTGTGAGGGCCAGGCCTGACAAGTTTGAGGGACTACTACAAAACCAACAAACCAAAAATAACACCAGCATAGACCCAGATAGCTAGGCAGAATCCCACGACCTGTTGACACGCGACTGGCTGGAACAAGAATGTACGCAGCTTGCGCAGCCAGCTTACGGCGCCTCCACAGCGCGCACAATCAGCTGACACCAGCACCGGTGCACTTTGCCAGCTGACAACACCGGCAGCGCCAGCGCCCGACCAGCGCCGCCGCCCGTCTTAAACGCACGCTCAGCCAGCTCACCACAGCACCAACACCCTTTCGAAAGCGCGCGCAGCCAGCTCATTCTTATTTGCAGCAAGAACCGCACAGCTATCCCTATTTATGCGCACAAAAGTATGCGCGCAAACGGCAAAGCCCGTAGGCTTCACTCGCCCAAGGCCAAGCAGTATCCAGCACGACTATTGTGTGTGTAGCACGCTGAAACAAATTGTCGGTTGGGAGCCTGACGCTGCGCATAGAACAATATACGTGCAAAAGTATGCGCGCAAACGGTACAGCCCTTGACACAGCTGTCGGCCAAAACAGACCCTGAAGAGTGTAAATACCCCACAGCGCTAATAGACAAAGAACGTTCAAGCGACAACACCGTATGATGTTGCGCGCATAAGTTCACGCGGCCCATGACCGCTGGCACTTCATTGTCAGAAGCGGCGCTTGGTCGCCCTTCACGTCTGTTAGAAGCGGCGGTTGTTATCACTTCACTGTCAGAGGCGGGCGCCAGCACCGAGCACCGGCACGACAGCTCACGGCGCCCGGCACCAGCACCAGCACCCAGCCCAGCACCAGCACCCGGCACCCAGCACCCAGCACCCTGTCTCCACCACGCGCGCAGCCAGCACCCAGCACCGGCGCCCAGTCTCCACCACGCGCACAGCTCACAGCACCGGCACCGGCGCCCGCTGTCTCTACCACGCACGCTGCCAACACCCAGCGCCGGCACCGACCACGCGCACAGCCAGCTCACACCACCCAGCACCAGCACCACAGCCCGCACCAGCACCCGGCACCGGCACCCAGCACCGGCACCCTGTTTCCACCACCACCACCACCACCTATGAAACTTCAAACCAAGTTGAACAAGTTGTCAAAACCCAAGAAAAACAAAATGCAAGACTTGGTACACTTCTCGAACCCTCGTCGGTGTCGGCGCGCGACGTCTTCCCACCGCCCAGCTTCCCGGTGCGCGACACTTTTGTCGCGCTTGAGCCATGCCGCAATGGCATGTCGAAGTCTCGAATGCGTGTCATCCCTTGTGCAGGGGCCGTGCGGTCTCGACTGGTTGTCATTCCTTGCGCAGGGGCCCATGCACCTCTCTGGCTGGAATGTGGTACACACTCGATTTGTGCACTCGGGGCACATGACGAGTCGGCCAAAAGTGGATTCGTGAATCCACAGCCTGCGGACAAAAGTGCACCAGGCGTCAAGGTGGAGGCCGCCAACACGGGTTGGCTGCCCAGGCGGGTAGGCTTAGGAAACTACCACAGTAACAAGGCAATAACCGGTGCATTTCAAGTGAATATGCCTTATATGTGTCTATAGATACACGAGTAAATGCAAGAACCCTTTTGGTTGTCAAGAGGTCCATTCAGGTGTCAACTATTCACACCCCCCCTCAACCAAAGGTGGGACTTGCACTTTGTGGATAGCAATCATCAAGACATCTCTCAGCACATTCATTTCATATTCTCCCAAACCCGGTGTTGGGATCACGATTTCGGCACATCCGAACTCTGGCTCTTCTGAAAAGACCTGCACTATGCTTTTTCGAGAGCTATTCCAGTGTATGTTGTAAACGGATGTGTGATGAACTGTGTCATGAAAACCTGTGCACAAAAACGCTGAAATGTCATGCATTGAAACCTTACTCTGCAAGTCGACTATTCGATACAAGCATTGAATTTTCTTCTGAGTGCATGTCTGCCTCTTTGGCTTGAAACATCGTGCATTTATCAATTTGTGAGGAGATCCAAGCATCACATTTCGCCAAGCTTAAAGATGTACAACGAAAATGTTCGAAACGAGAGAAGGTTATTTTTCTTTTTGGGGTCAAATCTCAAAGCTTCAAACTCTTCTTTTAACCAAATCCTTCAAGTCTTGGGCTATGGGATGAAGATGCACTGGCGGCAAGGCTTCAAAATCTTGTCGCACCTTGGGATGCAAGAAGGTCGACTATGTTCGCCAACGATGTGGAGATGAGATGGAAATTCAAAACTGAATCCAACTCGTGTCTCCTGAGACAAAAAACCTGCCGGCATACAAGTCTGGCACAACGAGGGCAAAATCACTTGATGCTCCCCGTGATGTTTGAGCATCCGGCATGACTCACGATGCACACGCTCTCCTGCCTTCCTCGTGATCTTGTAGCGAAATTCAGGTAGTTCCTGAGCATCGGGCGGGGAATGCGAAGGAGGGTGCGGTTCTGGCGGCGAATCACTCGGTGGGATCGGCGACGAAGGTGAAGGCTCTGCTTTGACTTCTTCCCAATCCCCTTCACTGAGAGAATCATCATGATCCATCTTGCCATCCTTCGAGTGCTCTCCATCAACCTGGCTCTTGGGTTTCCCTTTTGAACCTCCTTTGGCCCGAACATCTGTCGAGGTCCCTGCTCCCGAATCCTCAGCCACCTGCCCAGGGCTCACGGTCACATGAACTTCCGTGTCACTTGGTGCATCCACTGTGATCGTGATCTTGGACTTTGGGACCATGGCTTCAAGAACACTTGCAAAGATTTGAATTGTATCCAATTTATGGAATTTAGCGACTGCAACCTATTGGCACTCAATGCACAATGGTGATGTGAAAAGCTCGAATCAAATGAGATCTTGTTCCCAACTGAGTCAAGTTCGAAATAAACACTATGTGGATTTCTTCGTTCTGTCGTGCTCAAGTCGATCCACACGATCCCACTTGCTACAAATGGCCATGTACATCGACTGGATCAATTGAGTCACAACAGATGCAAAAAACAAAAGACGATCGTTCAGCTGAATTCATTCACTCTATATGCTTCAAAGCCTTTCGTGATGAACCATTTCACTACATCAATTGCCAGGTCCTTTGGATATTCACCTGGCTTTGACAGATGTTGGTCGTTTAACGACATGTGGCTCTCACAATGACAGATCTTCGGCTGAAACATGGGCATGGAACATGCGAATCGATATCGATGCAAAGCCGGCGCTTTCTCAACGTCATTCACATAGGCACATCGCGCTACGTCCAAGATGGACTCCAATCCATGGAACCGGCAGAACGACTGAACCAGCTCCTCACGCCAGTATGAGCACCTCTGACTCATCTCAAGAACCCTTACATCACAAATCTTCAAGATTGGGTGGCATTCACCAAGGATTCTTTCAAGTGCTTCTAGGTGCCCCTTCTGGAGTTCACTTCGCTTTGGCTGGGGAATCAAATTAAGGACCGGTGATCCTCCTGTGCACGGAGGGGAAGACCATCCGAGAACCAATGCTTTGGGGTGAATCCCATTCATTTGAACAAGCCATGAACGCAAAAGCTTGCCAACACGGAAAATATCAATGTCTTGAGTGACAGGAATCACAACACAACACTTGGTGTTGAAAGCATTGGCTCCCTGTGACAATCCTGCATGGAAGGTGGTGCACAGTTCGACGATGATATGCGTCACGATCCCGGCTTTCACCTGCATCCCCACAAAACTCAAAAAGCTCTTGAAGTCATCGAGACCTCCAGCAGACAAACTTTTCTCTGCCTCAAAAACTGAAAGATCTCCTGCATGCGGATCGTCATCTTGGACTTCGGCAGTCTGCACGTCAGACTTTCGAGATTGCTTCTTCCTATCTCTAGTTGTGATCACTTGCCATTCTTCTTGTCCTAGGACCTCAACGATTCCAAGCTGACTACGATGATCAATGGGCAATACCTTGGTAAGGAGATCAGCAGTGCACTTAGTGCCTGGCAGCCATTCCAAAACAAGATGTCCACAATCTCTCAAAGCTTGGATGTAACAGACTGAGATCGACATGTGGCGAACTCGCCTACTCAGTCCCTGGTTGCTCAAAGCACCGATGCAAGCTTGTGAATCCGTGAAGATCACTATGGGGTGA